AATAAAGAATTCAGTAGAGACAGGATTCAAAGTTCTTGGCGCGGAGTTTTCCAACTCATTGTCTCGTATCAATCTGTATCTTCTGATCCGCGCCAAGAACTTTGAATCCTGTCTCTACTGAATTTTATATTTTATGAAGATTTTTTTGAAAATCCTTCTATTCAGAGTTATCCTCCCCATAATAATCTGATAGCACATTCCATGATCCATTGCACATTTCTTGACTTGGCTTTGATTTTTATTTGTTTATTTTTTGCAAAATTTCTATGGGAATTGTGCTTTCCAGAAAAAAATATTTCTTCTTTCCAGAAACGACCCCACAAAACTTTTTCTTGGCGCAGTTTTTTTGCAAAAACATTTGTTTTTGTTTTTTTGGGATATCGTATGCCACACGGCGATAAAAGCATTATCTGGCAAATGTGATTATAATCCTCGCCTTCGGCTCGGATTATAATGCCACATTCGCCAGATAATACTTTTATCGCCTGGTGACATAATATACTATAGTAGGAGACGGTGGTATTAAATGGACACTTGGAACCCTTTTCAAAATGTTGATGTCTTATTGAAGTGTTGATGAAATAGATTTTTTTTTAAATTAAAGTACAGTCAGCCCCTTTGTAATAAGCTTATTAGACTGAGCTCAGTCGATAAATTTGTTCCTTGGTTATAAATATTGAAACAAGAAGTCAGAAGAGTCCGTTCCACCCAATCTTTCTCTAATATTTTTAAAAACAAAAAAAAAACAAACAAATTTGTTTTCAAAAAAAATTCTTTGTGAACATTTTGTTCGACTGTTCCTATAAGGAAATCAATTCATCTTTCCAAGAAATACAATCCACTAGGAATCATCAGAGCAAAAATTGAATGAGGAACCAAATCAAGTCAGAAAATTATTAATAGATGATTAAAAATTTAAATTCGGCGGAGACAATAAATCTGGAGTAGAACCGTTTATTTCCCTTCAATTGTTGATTCAAAAAATGTTGTATCTTATTAAAAATGAATGAGTTAAATTGAATTGAAAAGAACAAATTTCACCGGATGTAAAAACAGTCCAAAAGCAGTCCTTGCTTGAGACGATAAGAGGTTAGACGGGATCGTATGAGTGAGCTCGAATTAAAAATTTGTTTCACATTCATTGATGATTTCTAATTATTTCTGAAATCACTTGATTTCTTTATAATTTCTATCGATTTCCAGAAGTCATTAGAAATCACTACCGGAAATGGTAGTCACTTAATTTCTAACGATTTTTGGTGATGTTTTCCGTCATTTCCAATCGAGTGGCCCAGTGATGTCCTAAATGACCAGCCCCTCGTCATTAAATAATGGAATTGACCCTCGTGACGTACGACGCTCGCTAGGTATGAACCTTGCGACGTATGAAGTGACGTGATGGTGAATGTTGCCTATAGAACCCCCATGGGCGACCGTCATGGCCATAGACATGAATGTACGTGAACTGATCCCTCTTCAGAATAAGCAATTAGACGCGAAAAAACAAACCTCACGTTGGCATTAAAAAAAACTCTCTTCGTGACAACTTAATTTACTGACTGTGCTTAAAATGACAGGTTGAAATTTGTTTTTTTGTAATTTGGTTTTAGATTGAATACATTGCCCTGATGGAGAATTCTTAGTGAATTCGAAACGTCGGCATAGAAAGAATTCTTTTTTTTTTGGTTCTTTCTTTTCTTTTGGGAGAAATTCATGTAAACTGCTGCGGTTACCGTTATGGCTGGGAGAAGTCGAGGAGTAAGGAAGAATTGAACATGGTTGAATTATCGTGAAGAAAAAAAAATCTATTATATTCGTTTTCTATTTTTTAAAATCTCATTGCTCTTATAAGAGATATCCGATGCTAAAAGTATTAATTTTTGTAATCTCAATGTTTTCCATATGCAAGACGATAAGAGACCTTTTGCAAAGATTCACACGTTGAGTTTTTCACTGAAACGCATTGTTCATATTGTTTCCCGTGCATATTTACCCATCTCCCTTGATATCCGATGTTGATTTCTTTCCTTAAAGATAAACATTGTATTACTCACGAACGAAACATTAATAAGGGAAAATACAAATCTGAACGTGATTTTTTTCTTCTTTCGATTGAGTTATTTATTAACATCAGTAACATCAGAGTTTTGTACAATTGAAATCGTGATCATATTTTTTTGTGTAATTAAGCAATTCTGAAGGGAGATATGCTGTGTTAATGGTTTTCCATACTTAATTCCCCAGTACAATCACTTTTTAGACTATATATTTGCATATCTAATCATCATCACGTTTGAATGTCATCATGCCCGATAGAATAAAATTTGAAATTTTTAATTGCCCGGTTGTTGCACGAAATATGTGTTGTGAAATATTTTCTTCATTGGAAATTGCATCAGCTTCAAAAAAGGTGTTTTAGTATTTTTCCTTAACGGGATATGTCGGTGAGATTTAAAAGTCTTCACTAGGCATTGGGACCCATTGAACAGTTTGGATATATGCCGGAATATGGAAATAACTAGGGAAAACGACGGACCCGATGGATTTTGCCCCGTATAACCACGAAAAACTTCCTTCTTTCCTGTTTTTACCTTCAAAATGCTTCTTGCGCTGTAGTTTCATATGATTTTTTTTTAATGCTCGTTACACTCTAAAGAATAAAGTTAAGCATCCGTTTTACTTTATTCGCAATAGATCATGAATAAATGAATTTTGAATTTCATAAGTTTTTCGTGTCTCTAGAGTAGAGTAAAATTTATGAAATTCTAAATTCGTTTATTCACAATCTATTGCAAATAGAGTAAAACGGATGCTGAACTTTAGTCTTTGGAGTGTAACAAATATTTTAAAAAACTGAAATCGTATGAAAACTATGACGTTAGAAGCATTTTGAAGGTAAAAACAGGAAAAAATGAAGTTTTCTGTAGTTATACGGGGCAAAATCGATCGGTTCCGGGATTTTCTTTAGTTATTCCCATACTCCGTCATATATCACAAACTGTTCAATAGGTCGTAAGGCCCAGTGAAGACTTTTAAGTTTCGCGGACGTATCCACTTAAACCCACTTGTTGTTGAGGGAATCGTATAATTTTTGAAGACATCAGATTCCACTCATCACCTCTCCTCTTTCGCATTCAACCTCATCAATTAAAAATCTTCCTGTCAATCACAATCAATCTCATCTTCGCTCAATCGAAATACATCAACTCCCTCAACATAAATTAAATGATCTTTCCCCGCATTCTTGAAAATCCCCAGCTCCACCAAAGAAATTCATCGCTCTCGACTATGCGAAATCAACAATTACCTCTTTCCCCCGACTAACGCAGGCTTATACGTCGGCGCTTGTACGTCGATTGGACGTGCCCTCCAGTCGGGGCTTTTTCAACTTAAACTTTCATACCGAGCGCAAGCGCGACCAGTCAGTTACTTTCGGGAAGACGCAGAAGACGAACAGCCACTGTTCCGTTCAGCTCCCAGGGTTTTTTATACTCATTCATCTCTGAAGTTGACTAATTCCTCATCATTATTTTCCTTAAATCAAAACTTTCCTTTGTGATTTCGAAGTAAATTGCTGGGATTGCTGAGTTTTCATTCGTAAAAAATTGTTTCATCGAGTGAAGAATATTTTAATAAAATGGTGATGATTGACATGACGGATGTGCGACTGGACGAGGATGATGATGAGGATCGGTGGGTCCATTTTCTTCTAAAAAAAAACCGTTCACGTTAAAATTTCAATTCCAATGGATATTAATTATCTTTCATCTTGCTTCTGTTGTCACTCTAGTCTTTTTCTTCTACAGTTATAATTCGTAATTATTGATCATGGAAGACTAGTTGTCTTCTCATGACCCATTTTCAAAACCTCATGACATTAAGGTGTATTGACCTTGCTATACCCCCAGTGCGTGAATTTGCGAAATGAGTGGTTGAATATGGTCTTGACCTCAAATGAACAAATCGTCCTCGAATAGACTGTTGACATGGCCAGATGTATTGTTGTTATCCTCTTTTCCCTAATCGCTCGATATCGGCCTATCCCTAATATTGTTCTTTCATTTCGTTTTTTCTGTCAAGGATGGAATGACAAATCGACGAACTTGGATATGAATAATCAAGGAATTATTCGCGATAAATGACTCCGACAGTAAAAATAAATCGCGCTATTGTTGTGGTTGGGTTAAGAATTTATGAATTCAGGGAGTGAGGTACGATGAAGAGAAAGATATTGATGCGTTATTAACGTGAAAAGGGGATTGCACGCGTTCTGGAATTGGAGCATGAGGGGTAATCTGGGGCGTGGAGTTTAATTCAACTGACGTTTTAATTAGTGGACGTTTTTATTTCGTAAGGATTGTAGAAATGTAACCAAAAGACTTACCTCTTTAAATTAATTGATTGTTAAATTTCTGGAGATGAAATTATCTTGGTAATAACTAGGTTTAGGAGAAAGTGCAAGCATATTTTTTAAGGAAAATGTAGTTCTCTATAAAAAAGATTTTTTGACATTGTCGTCCAAAGTCATTAATTTCAGAGATAAATCAAGAGTAAGGATTGATTGAGTAAAATATTGGAATTTATTTTTATTTGTATTTTAATATTGAATCATCTCGGGCATCAATAGTCGTAACAAGGAATGTCAAACGATATCTTTTGATAGAACTTAATTATGGACAAAAATCATTAAGCGTAATCGATATGCATTTTTTCCTGAATCCACTCTTTTCCGAGATAAATGCAAAATTCACGCGACAAAAAAGGCAAAAATAGTCAATTTTTTGCATTTAGTATTGTCAAGTATATTAAATTATGTTGATAATAAGTTATTTCCACGAAAAAAGTCAGAAGAAAATTTTGTTAAGCATCGAATCCTTCAACGTTTTCTCTTTTAAAATTATCAGAAGAAAAAACTAAATTTCATGGATTTTTCAAATCTCGTCTTGTTAAATTGAAATTTAGCAAAATAAATATGTCACTCTCATTTTCCCTTATATTAGGTACGAGAGACTTTTACGAAGGGCAAAAACCGAAGACTTGACTGAAGTCTCTGGAATTGGTTGTCTTTACCAGAGTGGAGTTGACAGGCAAGGGAGACCAGTCGTCGTCTTCGTGGGAAAGTGGTTTCCAGCGACGAAAATCAATCTCGATAAGGTAATGAGCTCAAAGATGGTGTCTTCCTATTTTCAATGTGATGAAGTAAAAACCGAGAATTTGTTATTCATGGCGTAGAGTGATAGGTGGAGGGTGAGAACACGTGAAGAATCGGGGGTGATGCGAGTTAGGTGACCTCTTTGGGTTATAGGTCGACAGTGACGGATGAAACTTACCCAACACGTCACGAACTCGAGATCGATATTCACTCGGTGGTGGTACAGAAATAGAGGATTACGGGGAGAGCAGGCTATTTAGACACGAAAGTTTATCCGATATTTTTATTATCTGCTATTAATTTCCATCTAAATATGCCATTTCATGACGAGGATAAATTATTGTTAATTGTAATTGGGCTTTTACATGAGACTGGAAATTCTGAAAAACCATTTTCACCCATGTCAGTTGTTCTTGCGAGTAATTAATAAATTGTTGGGTTTCATGGAACGAAATAGTTTTAAAAAATCAATCTCTACACAGCTTCACACATTTTAGTGTCACCACATAAAATTTTTCAGACTGAGGTTATTAAAACTGAGTTTATATAACGTGGCGACCGTATGGCGGGCGACTACGAATACTATGAACAAAACATAGAACAAAGGACAAAGAGAAAATGTATTCCAAGTGGTCCAATGGACTGGTCCTTATTTTTCTGAAGTTAGTCTCCGTCAGCCGGAGTTAGAGTAAAGATCGGGATGCGTTTTCTACGTGCGACTGAATAAAGAGTCCCATTCAAATTAAATTCACAGAGTTACTAATTCGATCCTACCCATAAATCCAATCAAATTGACATGTGTCAAGAAAGCCACGTTCCTTGAAACGCTCTGTGTCACAATGCAGATTGAGCAGTTTGTTTGAAACGAAATAGTAAAGATTTCAGGTCCCGTGACACGAAAATGTTGGTTGTGAGAGTAAAAAATAATTGCAGATCAGGATTTATTCCAGCTCAATTTGATAATCAACCATTGATCGACAACCGTCTGCAATGTTTCTCGCAGTGCACAAAGAAAGTTAATCTTCAATTGCATTTTTTAATTAAAGATATGCAATATTCATTAGAAAAATATCAGACCATTAGGTGCAACAAAATCAGTAGGGAATCGATAAACTGGTTCAAGTCCAAAAATGGCATTGTTTTCGGGAGAGCCAAAAAACTTATTGTTGTCGTTTTGAAGTCATTAGAATGAAGATCTCATTCTCAAAAAAAAAAAACAAAACAAGAAAGGATATTTTATAAGAAATAATCCACGATAGATAGAGAGCATGGATTTTGCAATTATTTTATCATCCGGTTGTTGAGCAATAACTTCCGTTCGTCAATGAAAAATCGGGAAGAGTACTAACTAATTAACGTAATTAAAAATCTCCATCGTATTCAGTTGAATTGAGTTCCAGTACTCACTCGATGATATCAATATTTCCTCATTCCCTGCTTTGAGTTTCATAACTTATTGTTCTCTAAACACAGGTACAAATACTGAAAACACAATTGGATAAAGATTAATGGAATGAATCTGATTCAAGGGCGACAGTCCGTGATTTGCAAACTTCTGTTGACGTTTCCTTACTTGATCCACTCACCTTGGCGTACTTTCGTGGAGAATTTTTGATAAAAAATTGAATAGTAAATTATTTTAAAAAAGTACCTAAAATGCACAAATCTTGTTTAGATTTTTTGTTAGTATCTTAGAATCTAGGTCAATCAATTTCTTAAAAATCTTCTTTGTAGTGAAAAACGACAGCTAGGGGAGAGTGGGGCAAAATGAAACAGTCGACAATATGAGTTTGACGCAATGCAAGCAAAAAAAAATTCCCATTTTTAAAAATTAATTTTTGTTTATCAACTTTTTTTTATTATTGGGAGTACTGATTAGAATAATAATTTTCCATTCAGTAGAATGGAAAATTATTACGATGTTTTGACCGGAGAAAATTTTGTCAATGTATTAATTGAAAGGAAAATGAAAAAACAAAATCCAAAGTCCAGAGGAAGGCTCAGGGGGAGACACAGATTGGGAAAAAGGAAAATGTAATACTGAATTTCAATCGAATGAAAAAAAAGTGTAATTTGCCTAATCTAATCAATTGAGTTATAAGACGAATAAAACATTATTATTCTCATCAGTACTCCCAATAATAAAGAAAGTTGATAAACAAAAGTTGATAAAAAAAAATTTTTTTGCTTGAATTGCGTCAAATAGTCGTTTTACGACTGTTTCATTTTGTCCCATGTTTCAAGTTGCCCCACCCTCCCCTATAAAAAATACGCTTAAAAATATTTTTGCTCACTGCTTTAGATTCGAAGATATTCGTTGAAAAATGAATAGGGAATCGCCCTCTCTCGATCTCGCAATTTTTCTGAGTCTTGTCTTTGTTGAATCTATTGTCGAAATCTATCAGAGATAGTGAAATTATTTGGAAATTTAATCTTCTCAACATGTTACCCAAAAACTCTTCACCAGATCTATCAACTTCCCATTAAACTTCATAAAGTTATCCACATGTACTAGGTCACGTTTGCGCCCCAAACGATCAATTTTTAGTGACCCAGTGGAACAGTTAGAATTTTGCAACTTGAAAAGTATAGATATCCTCATAAAAAATGCACTCCTTCAGTTATTTGTTTTCCTGCAATTTCCTCATTGTTTTAAATTTAGGAAATCGATACAGAAACCTACGTGTCATACCTTTTAATTGATAATTGCACAAAACCAGTGATAAACACGTTGTAACTCATTATGGAAACGAATGGCTTGTTATTGCGCCGTTGGAAAATTTAAATTTATTCATGTATTATTCTCACGTCATTCAACGTCTGGTTCCAGGCCTTACTCTACTTGATTCAGCTACTGGATCCAATCGTCAAGGGTGACTACGTAATAGCCTACTTTCATACTTTAACAACAAGTAACAACTATCCGAGTTTTCATTGGCTGAGAGAAGTGTACAATGTGCTTCCTTACAAGTGAGTTTTCGTCGTATCTATTATTACTATTCTCCGTTGTCAATATTTTTTTTCAAATTTATAATGAAGAACTATTAGTTTCTAAACCATAAAACACGAACAATGACAATAATTGTACACTCAAAGGAAAATTTCCTAATATGTAGATCATATTTACTTGAGAGTAGTGAATTATTTTCAATGGCTTAACCCCTCACGTACGGGGCCTTTCTGATACCAAGTCTACCACACGCTCAATACTCTTCGCATCCCATATTTTCTGATGAATGAAAAATTATAAATAAAATATATATTTGAAGCTACAGTATTCACCTTCCCAATGGTATTAGTCCGATTGTATTATCTGCCATAGTTTCGGAAATATCCAATTTTTAAAAGAGCCGTGCGTTTTTGCATGGGTCGGTATGACATACCGAGCCCGTACGTGAGGGGTTAAGGATAATCGAGCGAGCTGGGAGGGTTGAAAAAAAAGCAGCCATTTTTTTCTTTTTTTTACGTATTCTTTAAATGATGGAAAAGGCGTGTGCGAAGTTTCAGACTGCTGGGGAGCATAGTTAATTTATTATGACTTTTTGAAATAGTGGTCATTTAACCCGTGATCTTATGGAAATGACCAAGAAAACTGCAAAACCCAAGGAAAAAATGCAGCCAAAGTCATGAAACTTTATACACATTTAGAACATGTGATCAGTGATTTTTTGAGTGAAAAAGATTGTCGCCTAGGAGCATTGTTTATTAATAATAGTGAAAAAAGTACTGAAAAATGAAATTTCTGTGCACGCAGCCCAAGCGAGCAGCAACGTCCTAAGTACCGATCGGGTGGGGGTAGCGCGGTCAATTTAAACGTCTCTTGAGAGAGAGCGATGAAGCGTTGTGATTGGAGCTCCCTCGAGCCAGTGGTACCAGCTCCTGGTGAAAAAAAAAAATATACCGACGATGTTGCCACTTTTTCGCATGGATTAATATTTTTTCATTTATTAAAAAAAAACAATCTGAAAACCATTCAGTGCGTGGAACAGATACAAATAAATTTGATTAGCTCCAAAAATAATTTTTAACCGGAGATACTCCCTAATATTGCCTTAATTTTGAATTCGAATGGGAAAAATTTTTTTGTTCAGCGATTGGTTTTCCTCCGTCTCACCTCCTACATTTCCTCCTCGCCCGATTATCCTTAAGGTTGTTGTCGTGTAACTTTTTTTTTCGACAGTTTTCTTTCAAATTTTTATCGTAGATCGCTCTAAAAATTAGCTGTAAAATAAGCCCATTGTAATTGCAATTGACCATCTCAAACGGAAGATAATTTTTTTTTAATTTTACATGTTAAATGCAATTTCATCGTTTATAATTTTTTAAAAAACAACTACTTGACATTTTTTATTAAAAAAAATCACAGTGTAGAAATAGTGTCAATCAATGTACAGAAAAAAAATGAAATTGATTGACCATTTCATTTTCGAGAAATCATCATAGAAAGTTATTTTTTCCCCCCAATGGGCGGGGCAAGTGAGTTCAGTATTCAAGTCGTGACAACAAAATGCAGCTTCGAGTCGGTGGCGCGGATGTCTTTGAAATGGTCGGGTTATAATAAGTAGTTCAAAACTGCGGTAATTCAGTCTTTTTTTTTACTGACTATCTATAAACACTGTAATAATAACAAACATGGAAAATAGTATAATAAAATAATAGATAGTCATGTGTTATTTGGCTCACGACTCTCAAAAAAGGAAATAATTTTATCAATAACTTTTTTATTTTTTTAAGATAATAATTGCATCAATCCTTTTTTTTTGTTTACTCGCTGTCAACAACTGGTCAAATGAGATACCAGAGTTGGCAATTTTTTTTAACATGTTGCCAGATACATTGCTCTTTAAAACCATTAACGAAGGTAATAATGTCAATGCTTTTTCTTTGGTAATTTCCGATACGATACACTCCAAGTACGACTTTTTTGCAAGGAATAATTGTTCCTTGGTTATTAATTTCTCTGACAATGTTTCTAAAACTTCAACATCAAATAGTGCTTCATGGAAATTACCACTAATTTCCAGAGAATGGATTCCAGAAGAGGATGGAATTGAGTCCCATTTGTTTTTCATTCTCAACATTTTCTAATGATAGTATGTCTTTACAACAACTACATTTTAAATGTTGGCCAAGGACTGAAAGCTCAACAATTCTCCTTTCTGAGCAAATATTCGTTTTTTCATTCTCTCGTTCAACCTGACTTGTATTTGCAGCAGTGTCTTGAAGTTTTTGGTTTTCTTTGGCACGCACCATCTTCGAAGCAAAATTTCGCTGTTTATTCAATACATGCGCTTTCACAAACCTCCCTTTGTGCCTCAGCCGATTCGACATTTTTTCCAATAATTTTGTAACACTCACTAACATAAACCACGAATTCTATACAAGCCCAAAGCGTGGAAAATTTCAAGTGACTCTCTCGCGACAACAACTTTAAATCTGAGAATGTTCGCGCTTTACGGAACTCGAGTAAATTCTCATTTATCACTATCGTTCCGCGTTACATCATGAATATATTACATATCGAAACATTAGAACTGCATAAAACAAAAATCATTAAAAGAATAAATAGGGGAGAGTGGGACAAAATGAAACAGTACAAAAAATGACTGTTGCAATTCAAGCAAAAAAATTTTTTTTTATTAAATATTATTTTTTCTCAACTTTTTTTTATTCTTCGAAGTACTGATGAGAATAATAATTTTCCATTCAGTAGAATGGAAAATTATTGAGAAGTTTTGATGGGCGAAGATTTTATCAACGGATTATTTGATTGAAATTCAGCATCATATTTTCTTTTCCCCCTCTGGCTCTCCCCCTGGGCCTTGCCATGGACTTTGGATTTTGCTGTTTCATTTTCTTTTCAATTAAGCTATTGGCACAATCTTCGGCAGTGAAAACTTTTCAATAATTTTCCATTCTACTAAATGGAAAATTATTATTCTCATCAGAACTCCCAAGAATAAAAAAATGTCGATAAAAAAAAATTTAATAAACAAAATTTTGTTTTGCTTGAATTGCGTCAAACAGTCGTTTGTTTGACTGTTTCATTTTGCCCCTCTCTCCCCTACTTGAGATTGACCATTCTTTTACGCAATTTGAGTAAGTTCATTTGCGACAAAATCATACTTGAATACAAGAATATTTTTAAACATGAGATCTGTCTCGGGCCACGTGAGTTAAGATGCCTACTGTCGGTGTCAAAAGTAGAGACCACTCGAAATAAACGTCTATAACTCGACGAAAAAAAATCGTAAAAATATGAGACCAATTGCACCGTGTAATATAAGTATTTCACTTTCATTATATACCAAATTTATGTTCAAGAAATACTAGTTTTTATAAAACAAGGACAATGACAATGATAATTTATCAATAAACTATTCTGTAATTACAAATGTCATTATCTAACCATCAAAGGAGTAAGAAATGGAGATCAAAGTTACTGAAATATTCATTCATCTTTGCAATAACACATATGAAAATATTCAAGAGAAAAATCTCATTCAGTCGCAACTCTGTCGAGATTGTATGAAAAATTCATAAGAAATATATGATGAAATAACAGCATTAGCTTTCAACTTTTCTATTCAATCTGTTCTATTGGTATTTTTCCTACAAAAGTCTCTGTCTTTGTTTCGTATTATAAAATAATAAAATAACTTGAAAATTTCATGCCCCAAGAATGTTATATGAAACATATCAACAGAATAGAAACCGAAATCTATTGATTTGTTCTATCAAGTATGTTTCATGAATATTTTTTCTTGAAAATCCTCAAACAATTGAATGGAATTTCGGATGTTTGTCAATAGAATTCCTCAGAGAAAGCTATTGATTTTCATCATGCATGAAATACACACACGAATTGTCAACACCTCGAATACTCAAATGGAAATCAAAATTGTATCGCGCACGTCATATGCGTCAAGTGACGTAATTGGTGCTATTTGCCAAGAAATTTTGACTCACGCTCCTAAATTTAGTTTCGCTTATTGTGATTCCTCTGACGTGAATACAAAATCCTCCGGGTATTCAAATTTACGTCAAATGGCACAAAAAATTGTGTGCAGAGTTGATTAAACAAATGCCACTGAGTTAAGCTATTGATTTATTGTCTTATCATTTTATTTTTCAGATATAAGAAGCATCTCAAACATTTTTACATCGTTCATCCTACCTTTTGGACCAAGGTTTGTATATATTTATGAGGAAAACATTAAAATTTTGAGAGATTTGTCTTCTAAAAACGATAAAACAGTACAGGAAGCGCTAATTTAGTACGAGAAGATTTCTCACGATAGATAAAAAAGCAATTTACGTGTTAGGTGTTGACCTTGTTGTGATTCAAAACGTGGAACATTTCAGTGCTATTTGTTTGTGAAATTGTTCAGCTTAATTGGATTGAGTTGTTATACTTGATTAATTCTCTTGGTTGTTTTTTTTTCAGATGATGACATGGTGGTTCACAACCTTCATGGCACCGGCTATCAAACAGAAAGTTCACAATCTACCCGGTGTCGAGTACTTGTACGAAGTCATGTCACCAGATCAATTAGAAATTCCAGCTTACATCACTGAATATGATATGACGGTGAGTATTGTGATGCGAAGACATTCATGGAATGCTCCACCAATGATTAAGAACAGTATGAGATTTTAGCATTGAAAAGTCGATTTCTGCATACTTAGTTGTTTCCTAAATATTTTAATTCATATCCATAACCAGGATTTTTAGAGATCAATATCAGATGATATTTTTGTTTGTTCCGTCGTGGAATATTTTTTCGTCGTTATTTTATAACAATTTAAAAAATATTATTTATTCTTTTTTTTTTACACTCTTTAAATTTTTCCCATTTCGAAAATAGTCAGAGATGTCCCATTTATTTCTTGAATTTTCCGTCTTTCCATTTTTACTGTATTTATTCATCTCTCCATTGCCTGGGATTATTTCTTTTCAATAAACGTGTAGTTCCCCAAGTCGAGACATCCTTTCAAATTTAACCATTTTCTTTTAAATAACCACGTAGTACCCCAAGTCCAAATACTTCATTTGTGTAATTTGGGAAACTGACAAATCGTTTGATTGCTATATCCATTCAAAAAAACCAAATGTTGAGGATTATCCTAAATGTCTTTATTACGGTCAAGGATTTTCGCCCGGGCAAAACTTTTATTGCGGTCTCCTCCTAATGCGTTTTCCCTCTGCATTGTTTTCTTTCATCGGCAAAATTCCCGTCCCCAAATACATTTATTAAATTTCTCTCTCACTTTTGGAAAGATTCTCGTCATGGTCCGTGCTATCTCACAAGAACCCTAATTATTGTCACTTAAGTATCTATCTAGCACTAGTATCTAAGTATCTAGCATATCTCGTGTATTGATAGCACAANGTTTGTGAGACCGCCTGCTGTCCGCACGTGTTGCGTATACTATTTTATATGATCACTGCGTGATGAAGTCTGGGGGCGGAGGGGGGGGGGGTTGGGGG